AAATAGGCGAGATAGGTTGGTAGGACACCTTCTCAGGCATGAAGGTCTAGTCAGAGACATATTAGAGGCAGAAACGGGAGTTAGGAGGGGTAGAGGTAGACCTAGGTTAGATTACTGTTCGCAAATACTTAAGGATGTGGGTTGTTCTAGTTTTAGGGCAATGCGAAGTTTAGTCAGTAATACATTAAAAAAGTAGAAAGTGGAAAACGATAATTCAAATGTTAACATATATCAATATTTTGCATTTTCTTCTAGCGTTTCTATACTGTCTGGTGTTAATCATGGATAACAGTGTGTTAAAAGATATGATTCAAGCATATTTTGAATGCAATAATATATGTTTTCCCACTATTGTCTTTATATTGAGTGGTTTCCGACAAAAGAAATTCCAATTCAATTTAGCAAATTGATTGAGCATCTATCCGAAAACATGCATGACAACTTTACAACTTTGCCTCAAGAAGTATGGTCATATTTTTAAAAATAAAGGAGTTAAAACTTGGGGTATTTTCTATAATCTGCTCTGTATATACACATTGGGGTGATTTATTTAAACCGTTCTTTAGAAATTTATTAGTTCGAAGGGAACAATAAAAACAGTAATTATTAATAGTGTCAATTTTAGCGATTGTAATTTTTTCACTTGAGTTATTTCTGGTGTTTTATATGAAATTAAAAAAAAATGCAAATCTCTCTAAAAATCCTCGTTTAAGGGTAGGTATCAATTTGTATTAAAAAGATGCCTTTAAAAAAGAATACTTTTTGATGTTTTTATAAAATCATTTGTAATAGAAATGTTTATTTGTTTATTTTAATTATTTTTTTCTTTTTTTATAATCTTTTAATGAACTGTTTAAATTTGTCGCCCTATGCAATGTCTAGATATTTAGCATATAAACTGTTAATTGCACTGTTATTTAAAGGATTTTGCAACCAAAAAGCAACCTTTACGCTTACTTAAGCATAGCAAAAGTACAAATTAAAAAGTATATTTTAATGTTTACCTTGATATTAGGAAATTTCTTATATCTTGCACAGCTAATCGCGTATCCGTTGGCCATGGACCCGCCGGGGCAAAATATACCATCGCTGGTATCCGGATCGAATCCGACAAACTTAATCATTTCTTTTAGAACGAATTCCTCCATAAGGGTGAACACGGGGGCCACTTCAAATGTATAAACACTAGCATTTAAAGAGTCGGTTAACCACTGTCCTATTAGTCCGTACGGATCCAGAGAAGAAAACAATTGATTCACGAAATAAGGATGGCCTGTTTTTACCGAATACTGAATGGTGTCTTGCAAAAGTTTCAAGAGATTCTCGTGCGTTGAACTTTTTTCTTCCAATGCGAAATCAAATGCTTTGGTCAACTCTGCTGGACTTTTCCATTCTAAAATTTTGTTTTTACGAGATGTTCCTTGAAAGACTGCATCATTCAAAAGAATATTGAGGGCGTCACAAAAAAACTTTTCGTGTGTCGATTTAACTGGAATCGTTTCGTACGAACAATTATCATTCGAAGATGTTCCATTTCCATTCGAAAGGTTCTTTGAATATCCATTTGTTGTGCCGTTGAGATGATTCTTGACAGGAGATGATTCTGGAAGGTCATCCGTTTTAATTTTCGTAACTATTTGTTTTTCTTCACTAACACCGTTCATCAACACACCATTATTTATAGGCATTTTTATCTTCGGTTTGTTCTACTTCTGATACCGGCGAGATGGTAAGTAATAGTCGGGGCGTTTTTACAATATTCTTAAATAAACTTCGTTACACGTCACGGAGACCTTGTCAGTAGCTTTCGCTTAGGCGGTCGGACAATTTACTACAACTGATAAGTAAGTCTGTTGAATGTTCTTTCTTTTATGAAACTACCTTGGTACCTTTTTATTTTTAATACGTACGTGTAAATTTCATAAAAGCTAATTCGTTGTATCGTTAAAATGTAACAGAAGCAAATTTCAAAATAAAACAAAATCTCGATCATTCGACTTATGACTATCGATTTATAATTTTTATTTTAGGATAACTTTAATAAAAGTTGATAGTCCAAGTTGGCCCCATTTAAATTTGAAGAAAAATTCCACCACTGAGGGTGTGGGGGGTTATTCGATTTCGATTATTCGTTTTTATTGAGTAGGGAATTTAAATTTAAAAACTTCCACCCTTAAGGGTTGAAAAATAATAATAATAATTGATTTTCCACCTGCGCATCAAAAAATTAAAACAAAGAGAAACTAAAAAGCGAAAAATAAACTTTTTTAATCTCAAGTTAAACTATTTGAAGCAAATTTAATATATTCTTTTTTTGGAACAAAATATTTTTTGTATATGAAATTTTCAGTTTGCTTTCATAGATGTTAACACCAATCGTAAATATAAAAAAAAAAGAAACTTTGCCATTGTTTGAAAAAATGGATCTGCAAGAATATGCTCGAAATAAGTTCCTATGTCTCGATAACACATGGTTGAAATATAGAAACAAACTAACTGTTTTCGATATCTCAGATTGTTAGAAAAATCCCTCAACATTAATCGTTGTATAGTATAGTATAAAACAAAGTCTCTTCCCGCTGTCATAGGAACATGTATGCTTAGATCTTTAAAACTGTGCAACGGATTTTGATGCGGGTTTTTTTTTAATAGATAGAGTAATTCAAGAGGAAGGTTTATATGTATATTACTTGCATAATAGAGTAGAGAAACACTGATAATTTTAGAGGTTTCTAATGTGATGTCGTAAATAAACACATTTTTTGCGCTTACATTGCAAACGCTGACTGAACCCTACGAAATAGATCAAAATTATGTACTACAGTATTGTACATCTTAAAAAGGTCTACTAAAAGTCCCCGATATTATATCTATCTCTAAGGGATAAACCACAATAACCATTTTTTATCCTTTACTTTTTACGAGAAATAATGGCTTATTTACAGAGCGATTTTAAGTAATACAGCATTAATTCTTATCCAATTAAGTACCTTAAATACATTGTGCATTTAATATACGTCAATATGACCCTTTACAGCATGTAATTTAAATGAATATTTTCGAAGATATTACAGATTTAAAATGCAGGGACATAGCGGTTGCGACGGTACCGGCCGGTTTGTATTGTCCAATGACAAAAAAGCTGTGAATGTTGTATATAAAGACATTCTGTAGTATATTTAGTATGTTCAGGGGGTGTCTTTTGAAGATTTCCCGTCCTCGAAAATAATTTAAACAAAAAATATATATATTTAGTATCTGCATTGCACCCGTGCGAAGCTGGGGCGGGTCGCTAGTACTAGATAAATAAAAAGGTTTTCATTTGGGATAAAATGCGACAGTTTACTTATTAAAAGCTGATTTTAACGTCAAATGAAATCTTCAACATTCTGCTTTTATGAAAAATAGGCTTTCGAAACCTCAGAGAAGGGAAATATAAAAAAAAAACATTCTTATTTAGCTTTAGCAACTAATATTGTGGTTATCAGCGTTTATTCACCGGATTTTTCTAACAATCGGAAGTATGTATTGGCAATTTTTATAGAAATATTTCCAAAATAGATTTATAAATATATTTACGGTTTTTATCGTTTATCTGAGGCAATATGCTGTATATATAAATTCATTATTATTTGCTGTAGTTAGTGCAGTGTTCTCAATTTAATTTGTTTTTTGAAAGAGGAATTGAAAGATTTCTTATGATGACGCTAATTATTGAGACGTAGAATTATTTGAATTGTAAAGGATTGATATATCTTTACATCGAAGAATGTGATTTCTGTTTTATCAAAAAAATGAATTACCACAATGTAACCGAATCAATACAACATTATTCATATCATAGGTTAATTGATTATAATAGGCTAACACATTATATAATCATTTGGATTTACTTTGAAAATTACTATAAATACAACTTTCTATAAAAAAGTTAATTGTAATGTAACAGAAAACTACGTTGTTTTGGTAATGAAAATTAAATAAACATAAAAAAATACATTGAGAAATACATTTTTACGTATTGGAATTTAACGTGTCCGTATTTACAGCAAATGAGAGCTTGCTCTAACAAACCATTTTTGTTTTTATTGTCAGGTGTTGAATGCGACTCACTTTAACAGGTTATTCTTATGATTTTTATGCTAAAAAATTAAATTAATCTTGGAAAACAACAGCAGTAGAAACTAACTGACAAAGAATGATAAATTTTGCATACATTTCTGGGCTTTGTATAAATATGAACACCATGTATATAAAAGAAAAACGGCAAATCGTGGTCTTCCCAGTATTACGCGCAAGTCTTTTGGTAAAACCACCGTACAAAAATCTTTCTACTTCATTAGTTTCATTCCATCAGCATGAAAAAAGGGAATTCCAAGCCAATCGTAAAAGTATTTCACAAAACATATGTAGTTCATTAAACGATTCTCGATAGTTGACGTGATTATACGCTATCCAATTCTACAAACTTGAATTATAAAGAAAACCCGACTGTAAATTCCATAATACTGCTGAGACTTTATTAACAGAAAGTAGCGACTTTCTTAAAAATCATAGGCCTTAGTGCTAATTGCCACTATAAAGTCATAAAGAGTTGTTTAAATAATACAGCCTCACATCACATATTAATCTTAATATTATTTATATATTATAGACATGGGCGCAACAAGGGGGGGTCCGCGGGTGCCCGGGCACCCACTCGATTGGGTTGGACACCCAGTCAATTCCAGTTGATTCAGGTAATAACCCAACTTGAATGTTCGGTTCAAATAGTTCAAGCTCGTTGAAATGACCTTTTGACGTGACAACGTCTTATAATTCGATGGAGCCGGCTGCAGGCACGAAAAAACATGACTCATGCGGCGTTACCTCGCTCTGAGGCGTTCCATTTAAGGCTTGAAGTGCAAGCGAGAGCGCGGAACGAGCGACAAAGAGGCACAATCGGCCTCCGCGTTCGGCAGCGTTCGACATCTGTCTCTCTCCTACTTGAGTGAGCGATGCGTCCGCGTGGACAGCTGCTATACAATAAAATATCTATCAAACGAATAAAATTAAATTTTCTTTTGAAAAATGAAACCATTCCATCAGTATTTTCTTATGAAGTTGTCACGTTCAACTATCGTCAGTAAACTGACTTTACAGACAACCGATTTTTTTTTTTAGTCATTTATAGCATTATGATGAGAGCAGCCGAACTCGAATTTTCGATTTTTCCAATACAATGCATTGATGACCTCTTTTTTTTTGTCATTTATTGAGCACTCAGTCAAATTGTAACGTTGTTGCACCCCTTATTATAGACACCACAATAACAATACTTAATAATTTTATCAGACTACTCTTCTATTGGTCAAATACGTGTTTCTACTCCTTCCGCTTAATTTACCGAAGTACTGAAGTGTACTATAAATATATTTTTATTTTCGATAAATAAAATCGGTAAGTAGTCGTTAACGTAATATGAACGGGAGGGAACTCGGCTAGTACCCGGGAGGGAATTCGACTACCTATATTTTAACCAAAACTATCTGCGGGAGAGAATTCGGCATCACCGTATTATTTGATATCTTGAAATTTAATCTTTTAGAATTCTAAAGTGTAAATTACTATTACTCATTAAAGTAGATAGGCTACCTTCGTTCTGGACCAAAATCCCATGTATTTTCTAATGAAGGTTCATTTTGGTCCTTTCTGTACCGTTTTACCCCCACTACCCCTACTATGACGTCACCGCCGGCAGTCATCTATGACAACTGTCATCGTCCGACAACTTTCACCGATTGCAACAACAACCCTTGCATGGGCATATTTCGATAACAAAATTTTATTATAAACTTTTCAATTCTTTTCTCTTATCACACACAAACGCATAGTTCATTTTCAAATACAAAATCTCATAACACTCATAAAAGCAATCGGCTGAAAAGGACCTTAATTGATCCTATAACGGCTTGAGTTAGAAGGGTTTTAGTCGAAAGGTCCGAAAACATCTTCCTCGGGGATCCGACAAAATCCGATCTAGGTGAAAGGCCATAGAACGATAAGCATAGTGAATCGGCCCCAGAGGAATATCTGGATAATTTTTTTAGGGGACATTGATACTAATGAGGTACGTTAATTTTGAAAATTTTAGACCTCTATCTATTTTGGTTTTTGAGTAAATTCAAAAAAACGAAAAATCAGAAAATAATTTTTTTCTCGAAAACGGCTCAATCGATTTAATTGAAATTTATACACGTTATGAAGGTATATAAGGGCTATACTCGGAAAAAATAACAGCTCATAATCTTTATAATAACCATTAAAAACAGGCATTTTTTACCGAAATTATTTTTTTTCTTTATGATAATGTTCTAGAACAATTTTGAAATAAACTTTTTTTTATGCCCTTTTTAATATAGAATAACCCCTCAAATTCTTAAATCGATCAGAAAGGTACGCCATATTGAAAAACAAGAAAAACCGATTTTTTTTATATAAAAATCGATTTATTTTACTTTTTATACTTTTGAAACAAAAGAAAAGCGGGTTAAATGATTAATTTTATAAGTGCAAATAACATCAAATATTGAAAACAATAGTGTAATTGTTTTTTTAAGTCAAAATATTAAAAAAAGGAATTATAAACTATATTTAGATAAACCAAAAGATGACTCATTAATGTTAGTGATAGTCAACTATTTTGAATTTGAATTTGATAGTC